CTAAAAAGTTCAAAAAAAGGTAAATTGAGGCAGTGAGGCATCATTTCTCCATACGACTGGGACCTTCAAATTCTGGTCCCCTGTTGTTGTCTTCTTCTCCTTCTTTCATCCGTTTACGTTGAATTTAGAAACCTAATGCAACAGAGAATCCCACGCGGCATCTCCGTTGAAGCTGTACTCTACTACTCTACCCCATTAAATAATCCACTGAAAAACAACACTACTTTTTTTTCTTTTTTCTTTTTTTTTTTTTGTGTTTTCCATAGTTCTTGCCAGTGTGTACTCTCTCGGGGTCCACAACTTAACGGCTACTTTTCACTCTCATCACGTGACCACCACCACCACCACCCAACCAAATCCTCCTCTATCTCGCATTTGGCGGGAAGTAGTTCTACTTTTCGGACAAGTCTTTAACTGCGCCCTATCTGTTTCGTTGACTGAAAGTGTTTGAGCTTTAACTTACCCCAAGGCCGGCATTAACGGAAAGCGTAATACACTAGAATCGTAAAAAGTGTAAAAAAGTTGGAAACAGTAAAAAAGATGCTTACTGATTGAACAAAAAATTTCACCGTACACTTGCTTTCTGAAAATAATTGAAGGAAGAAAAAAAAAAAATTGGTCAAAAGTTTCGGTTTTACGCCGGCGAAGGTTGAGAGGTGGGATCGGCGGAGGAGGGAATATCGGGGCCGACGCGACAGCCTTCGAGCATGAAGACGATGTCGGACATGGTGGGTCGATCGAGCGGGTCCGGTGCGGTGCAAAGTAACCCGACTTTTACCCCTAGCAAGAATTCTTCCCACTCTGATGATTCAGGGTCAAGCTCGAGCAATCCTGGCTCTAGTAGTTCTGTAATTTGGCCTCTTTGCAGCTGTTTCTTGACCCATTTGACAATATCTTCATCTTGTGTGAACATCACTGGTCTTTTTCCGGTTAGGAGCTCGAGCAAGACGATACCAAAGCTGTAGACATCGGATTCTTTTGTGGCTTCCCCTGTTAGTACTGCTTCAGGGGACACATAACCTAGTGTGCCGACTGAAGTTGAAGTGGAAGCTGCCTCTGCTGGAGTTGCTACAGTGAGGCGGTCTAGGCCGAAATCTGACAAATGGGCTTCGAAATCAGCGTCGAACAAGACGTTCTGAGGCTTGACATCGCCGTGAACCATGTTGGATGTGTGTAGGAAGGCTAAACCGCGGGCAATACCGAGGGCTATCAGGTGGCGCATTGGCCAGTTGAGGACGTGACCATCTTGATGGGATGCTTCTTGAAGAAGCGTGGCAAGGTTGCCATTGGGCATGTAGTCATAAACCAGGAGCCTTAAATCTGGTGATCCTGCATAGTAGCCACGGAGGACTGTCAAGTTTCGATGCCTCACTTTGCCTAGAAATTCAGCTTCTTTTCTAAACAAGTTTTCATCCAGAGATCCATCTGGGAGGCGACGAATTGAGAGCACCATTCCGTCATTGTAACAAGCCTTGAAAACCAGTCCATACCGCGCTCTGCTAAGCACATTTTCTTCATCAAATTGCCTGGTCGCTTCAATTGTTTCTGCAAGTGTGATCTTATTATTAAACATGACAAGCTTTGGCCCTCCGTTATCTGTGCTGCCACGGCCTCCACTGGTTCCAGAGCTGGCCCTTGCTGGGCTACGTTTCTTCTCCCCCGCTGCTTGTTTGAGTTTCTTGCGCCATCTCAACAAGCTGTAAATGTAGAAGCAGCAAAACAGTGCCATGACACAAGCACCAGCTGCTATCAAAACAATCAACATAATCAACCTCTTCCTCCTGTTTTTGTCAGCCATATTCTCACACTTTCGATCCAAAGGTTTACCGCACAAGTCTTGATTATCAGCAAATGCTGATGGATTGTTGAATCTAGACCCCAGAGTGACCGGAATCATCCCTTTTAAATCATTCTTTGAAACATTGAAGTACACCAAGCCGGTGATAAGTGTAAGATCCGTAGGAATCTCTCCACTCAAGTTGTTGGATGAGAGATCCAGCCTTGCCAAATTTGATAACTTGGACAATGAACTTGGTATGCTCCCGGAGAGATGATTCCCATCCAGAAACAAAGAGGCTAATGAGGAGCATGTGGAAATTTCCTCCGGGATTTCTCCCGTTAAGTTGTTACCACCCAAATCAAGCACATCCAAATGGGAAAGGCGAGAGAAATCATCCGGAATGTGGCCTGTCAAAGCATTTGATCTCAGCTGGAGATCTTCAAGCTCAGTGCAGTTTCCAAGCTCCGGTGGGATTGACCCAGAAATGTGATTGTCAGACAATGAGAGAACCACCAATGACCGGAGAAAACCAAAAGTTTCTGGTATATGACCAGAAAATGAATTGGAACTGAGATTCACATAACGCAGACTCAACAAACTGCTAAACCCTTCAGGAACATCCCCTGACAACATATTTTCTTGCAGAGCAATGACCTGTAGATTCGGCAAGCCAGAGAGCTCAGAGGGCAACTCACCAGAGAGTTTCTGCTTGCTCAAATCCAGAGTTGTTAGCCTGAACAGATTGCCCACAGTTGCAGGGATCCTTCCTGAAAAGCCATTACCACTCAGATTCAAAACCATAACCTGGGTCAAGTTCCCAATATTTACTGGAACTTTACCTGAAAACCCGTTTCCACTAACGTCCAATGTACTCAAATTGTTCAGTGCAACTATCTCAGCAGGCAAGCTTCCACTCAAGTTGTTCTGTCTCAAGTTCAGGATCTCAAGTCCCCTGAGATTCTGAAAACTCTCCGGAACAGAACCAGAAAACAGATTTCCACCGAGAGAGAGCACTTTGAAACCGGTCATGTAACCCAAAAATACAGGAATTTTACCTGAAAGACGATTCCCTTCAATGTCAAGAACTCGCAAGGACCCACATTGCTTCAGCTCTTCCGGAACCACCCCACTGAAAGAATTATTAGCCATATTTAACTCTTCTAACCTTGTTAAGTTCCCAATCTGCGCCGGAATCCCACCGGAGAAGGAATTCCCAGAGACATCCAGCATCGTCAATGTCCATATGCCAGTTAACCACAATGGAAACGAGCCGCCTATTTGATTCTGTGAAAGATCCAAAACCTGCAACACGCTGTAACAGACTCCGGAATCAGGACCCACAACATCCGTGAACACATTGGACCCGAGTTGCACGATCCGAACCGAGGGCGGGTAACCCGTCACATTGCAGAAAACAGATAAGGGGACTGACCCGGAAAGGTTGTTATGCGAGAGCGAAAGGATTTGGAGCTTGGGGAGAGCTCCAATCGCCGCAGGAACCACTCCACCAAGCGCATTGCCCTCCGCAGTCAAATGCACAAGCGAAGAACAGTTGGCCATAGCCGAGGGAATAGTTCCTTCTATGAGGTTATGGTCGAGCCAGAGATACTGAAGTTCCTGAAGCTGACCCAGACTCGGGGGAATCTCGCCGGAAAACTGATTATATGAAAGATTAATGAGTTGAAGTTGGGATAAATTACCAATGCTTCTCGGAATCGAACCGGAAAACCAGTTTGAGGAAAGATCCAGGTACTTGATATTTCGGGGAAGATCCCCAGGGATTTCGCCGGACAAACGGTTCTGAGCTACATTCAGGATTTGTAAATTGGTCAAGTTGCCTATCTCGGGCGGCAGTGTGCCGAAGAGTGAGTTGTACTGGAAGAAGACTGCGCGTAGGAGCGTGCATTTGGAGAGAGAAGAGGGTATGCTGCCATTGAAGGAGTTTGACCGGAGACTTAGCTTGCGAAGAAAGCGGAGGTCAGCGAGACGGTCACTGATTCTGCCACCTAGTTGGAGGCGAGGCAGGCGCAGCTCGGTGACCCTGTCGTTGGTACATGCAACCCCACGCCAGTCGCAAGGAGCAGCCGGCGACGACGGATCCCACCAAGTCAAAGCCCCAAGTGGGTCATGAAGATTAAGCTTGAAAGCCGTCAAAGCTTCAATCTCCACCTGATTCTGCTGGCCTCCGGCCAAGAACACCACCCAGAACAGCACAAACACAAAAAGGTTGAAACTTGCATTCATTGATAACAAAGATTTCAGAGAAAAAGGTAGCAAAGATTGAATCTTGACTTAAAAAAAACAGACTGGGCGACGGAGTTTAAGGCAGAAGTACAGAGGGGGAGCGTGGGTTGCCAGGGGTGTAGCCATATGCGGTAGCAAAGAGTGGCCGTTGTTGCAGACACTCAGTGCAGGGAAAAAACAGAGATGATACTGCTGGGTTTCACAGGGGGAGTGATGTTAGTGGTGTTTGGGCATGTTTTTTTTTTTTTTTAAATTATTATTTATTTATTTATATATTTATTTCTATTTCCCCCAAAACACTTTGAATAAGCACTTTTATGAAACGGCAAGTGGTAGGGTTAAGGGGCGTTGTCACTTTTT